CCAGACTCTGAGGTTTTCCTGTTGCTCTTGTAGGCACTCCCAATCAAGAGAGACCTACAGCCATCAGAGAAGACTCTTCAGAGAGTGTGGGGCTTGAACTGGTCTTGAATGCCAGGGTTCTTATAGATACAAGTGGCTGTCTGAGAAGGGACATGTTGAGCAAAGGAGAAAGTAGGAATGGAGTGGATGAGTACAGTATTTGCCTGAGAGAGGAAGAGGGCCATCTGAGCCGAGGATAAGATCTTTTAATGAGAGGGAAGGTAGAAGAAAAGGCCATATTGAAATGCCGTGTGAGGAGGCCATGTAAGAGATCCACAGGAAGGTGAGACTTCTTTTCACAAGAAAGTTGGGGCCCTTGAGTAATATTCCAGGGCATAGTGGAATATTTAACATAACTATTGGCTACTTGTTGTTTGGGCCTGTGACTCCCCTAATCATGTTTACTCAGGATATCTGAAGATTTTTTCACAATTATGAGCAATATGTTTTCATTACAGAAGAATCAAGTACATAAAAAGAAAAAAAAGAAAAACTCCATTCACCAGAAGCAACTGCTATTAGTACCTCATTGTATAGATTTCTAAAGTCTCATAAACATATACTTATATTTAATAAAATTATGGTACTATCATATATGCTGTTTTATAAGGTATTTGTCACTTAATACTATATTGTGCATAATGTTCCATGTCAATAAACCTATTTCTATGATAAGATTTTTAATACCTGCAAAGTTGGTGACAGTATTTTTAAGGTTTATCCAGCCTTCTGGTAATAAACTTTGCCTTTCATTTCAGAGATTTTATTTTTCCTGTAACAGGGTAAAAAATATTTCCTCTGTAACTGAGAATAGTATCTAGATGGCAGGGACATTACCAAAGGATAATATGGTCATTTCTCTCTCTTTTTTCTTTAGCCAAACTGTAGTAGGTGAGGGAAAGAGCTGTATTATATCTGTGGCAAAATTCCTGGACACAAAATTTTGGCCACATATATAAAATTCTAATTTCAGGTGAAATGTTAAGTTTAATTGTTCAGAAAACTGCAAAGGAGAAAAACGGGGATAGCTACCAATAAGTTGCAAGTATTTGTGTATCCCGAGTACCAAAATCTTCCAGCAGATGGGCAGGCCCAGTTGGCCAGAACATGGCAGGCTTCTCATGGGCATAGGCACTAATGTTGACTAATTAGGTCTTTATGTTGGAATTTCTGGGGCATAAAAGGCCTTGGTGCAAAGTGCATGTTATCAGATATGGCACCCTTTTCAGATAAAAAATTCTGACACAACAGGAACATAAGACTAACCAACTGTATTATTTCTTGAATTTATTCCTCATTGACTTTTTCTCTACACAACAAGCCTTCTGAATGTTTGCACAGTGTCAAGGGAAGAGAGGGGATGTTCTTTTTGTTCCATCTCGACCCTCTTTTCTTGAATCCCCTCCCCTCTCCATCTTCACTTCATCTGATGGCTTTGTGTGTATATGATGTTTTTGATACTGTTATGTTCTGTTTCCACAGCAGGCAATGAAGTGCTCCAACTGGCATTAGGGGATATGTAGGACCAGAGACCACTTAGAACTATTAAAAGTAAGAATATCTCATACTTACTGGACATTTACTATATGCTGTGTTTTACATTCATAATTTCACTGAATTCTCATAAGAACCTTATTATTTGGCAATTATAATTATCCCCACTTTATACATGAGATAACGGAGACTCAGAAAAGTTATGTAACTTGCCAAGCTTCTTAACTAGAATTCAAACCAGGTCCATCTGATTCCAGAGCCATTTCTTACCTATCTGGCTCTACTTTCTGTCTCAGTAAAGCTTAGAAATCAGGCAACTGGAAGGAATAACAACAAAATAAACCTAATGTGAGGCCAAGAGAATTGTTGACAAAACGATGTATCTCATTCTTCCTCCAAGATTTGATGTCAATTTTTATACTTTGGCTAAGAGTACCTATTATCAAGCTATTTGCTCAAGGTCATCTTCCTTCAACCCCACCCCCATCATCAGATGATTTTTTTTTTTTTATAGCTATGTTTAAACATCATGGGCAACGCTTAGACTTGCTGTATACTGAATTTGCCATCTGAGCAAAGATTTCTTTCTCAAAGCATATTTATTTACTTTCTGGTTTCTGCCAAGCAATTAAAAGGACAATTTTTTTTGGTTTGCTTTTACTTTTTTGTTCCAAGCATTCCTCAGCTCTAGAATTTAGACAGTCAGGCCCACTGAGTCAGGACCAGATCAATCAATCTGAAGTTTCAGATCCGTCGGTGAGTATGAGTTCTGCAGAGTAAGAAAACAATCTAGATTCCTTCTAAAGAAAAACACATTCTGATTTAGTTCTGTATTGTTTATAATCACATATGCTTTACTTCGTGGCTTGAAAGCTAATAAGAGCTTCCTAGAATTCATTGCTTAAGAAGTTAAGTCATGGCATCTAATTATTTGGCAGGATGTTTTAAGTATATATAATTATATCTTCCCACCATTTTGTGGTGGTGGTGAGCCAAGTAATCTGCATCACGAGAAAATAAATAATACCTACATTAGGGCTACCAACTAGGAGCTCACAGCACTTTGGAAAAACCCATTCATTATAATCTTAATACATAGTAGGTGCTCAATACTTTTTTTTTTTTTTAGGGTAGATAAAACTCATGAGGTTTTTATTGTTTGCTTTTTTAATCACACGACTTCTGAGAATATATCATTTTGTAAATTTCCTTTTGAAAGGAATTTGTTTCTCATGGGAATCATGGTTCAAGGAAACTACTTTAGAAATGCTGCTGCAGATGCATAAAATCTTGATGTCCTCAGTACACATTTGCACCCATTCAGGAGCTTTGTCTGAAACATGAAAGAATGCAGCCCTTAGGGTGTTCAATATTCTTTAATGAACCAAACTAACATCACCCAACCTTTCTAGATAAGAGAACTCAAGCAAAGGGAAATCACATTGACCCTGTTCTGTATTTCAGTTCTTAGAGGTCAGTTGTGTGAGTGTGGCAGATGCCCTGCACTTGGGAGTATCAAATTTCAAATCCTAATTACTACCTTGGGCAAGTCCCTTCTCTTTTCTGTTTGTCTGCTTGTTGCCCTGTAAGACAGGACCAGTTCTCACACAGGTACAGGGCAACAGTGAAGAATAAGATGACAGCACACTAGGCATGACTTTATAGTAATGAACACTAAGTGATGATTTTTTCCTTATACATTCTACATGGTCTTAACTCCTTACTCCTCTATTATTGGGGGATGTTAACTATAAAACATGGTCAGAATTTGGGCTAAAAGAACTTTTTTCCGGTCTGGCAAATTAAGTATAAGCTTTTAGGGGAGAAGATCTGAGAGACTTTCCTCTAGGGACACTGCTGGGAGGTACGAAAGAAAAGCAGAATTGCCATTTTCAGTCTGAGACCTCACTAAGCAAGTTCTCTTTGATGAAGGAGAATTTTCAGACCCATCATTGGCTCATCCAGGCCTCTAGATCCTTCTTCAGATTATTGGTTGGGACGATGCCCTCAGAGCTGCAGAGTGAGCCTGGATTTGGCAGGGTCAACTGCTATTGGGGATAGGAAATCTAGAAGACAAGTGACTAGGTTCAGCTCTTGCCTTGCATTTTAAAAGTCCTTTGGATGGGCTCCTGGGTGGCTCAGTCTGTTGAGCATCTGACTTCCTCTAAGGTCATGATCTCAAGGCTCATGATTTCGAGGCCCCTGTCGGGCTCCCTGCTAACAGCTCAGAGCCTGAAGCCTCCAATTCTGTGTCTCCCTGTCTCTCTCTCAAAAATAAATAAACGTTAAAAAAAATTCTAAACGTCCTTTGGAAAGTTTGTATCTCTCAGGTCCTGGGGACATGATAATCTCTCTTCCATCTAGTCCTACACTACTGGGAGAATACCAGCTTCCACCGAGGCAGGAAACCTTGTCTGTTTGGTTGACCCCTCTCTCTCCTAAGGATGGGATTCAGCACATAATTGATGCTCTACTGAGCCAAATATTTCTGTGAATGCAGAGATAATGGGATGTAAAAACATCTCGCAAATATCAAAGAGATTCATAGCCAGACCGAGGTCCGATACTCAGATATCCGAGCTTTCTTTAAAGCGCGGATTGTAGCCGCTTCTAACATCATCAGGCCAGAGAGGGCACGGGTGGGGGGCGAAGGGGTTCCTCATTCTCCGGAGGAACCAGAGTGGGAGGAAGGCGCACACCTGGGGAGAAGGCGACAATGGGCGAGGCTGCGCGAGGCTTGTGGAAGCTAGGATCGAGGTCCTAAACTTAGAGAAAAGCCTAAGGCTCGGGCGCAGGCATCACGGCCGACAGGCACCTAGGCCCAAATACAGGTGTGTGCCCAAGGAGTCAGGTGCACTGCGCCGCGCTCCCAGGGCAGACACACCCTCCTCCGCCCACGAGTGACCTAATTACAAGGTGCCTGCCGCGCCCAGAGGCGGAGGTGGCCACTCCAAAGAGGCTACCACTTGGCACCCGTTCCCGCCCTCAAAGACTTAGGAATCCCATACAATTCCAGCGCACCGTGAGGTCACAATTCTAGTTTCTGTAACCTGAGTACAAACGCGGGGCGAAGCGCAGAACTGTCTCACCTTAGAGAAAAAGCTCGGACTGGCAGGTTCTCCTCAACCTCCCAAGCCCCAGACTGCGCCTGCGCTAAACAGGCGCCCGCGCCGCGCAGGACTTTGTGCTCTGGAATTAGCCCAGTTTCCTGCTGCAAGCATCGCGCTTGTTCGGACTCGGTCCTCTCTTCCCCGCCCCCCCTCCCTTCTGGACCACCACGCCCTAAAAGCGAAGGTGCCTCAGTTACCAGCCGGCTACGTTGCGCCTGCGCCGTGGCCCCTGGTTGCCGCCCCCCCAACTCTGGCCTGGCGGCGGACCGGGGTTGGCTCCGCAGTTGCGCAGCTCTTGTCCCGGCCCTTCTACCCCGCCGCACCCCGCCGCCTCCTGACGCCGCGCGTGATGTCACCACGCCGGTGGCCGCCATTACAGAGAGCTGAGCTCCAGGACTAGATCGAGCGGAGGAGGACAGCGGCCGGCGGCCGGGTACTTCAGGGAGCACCCGCGGTTTCGCGCTAGCGCCGAGCAGCCGCCAGTAGCCACACAAGTACCCCGGGAACCGGCGGCGGCGTGTGCGTGTGGCCCGTGTGCGGGCGGCGGCGCGGGAGTAGCGCGGAGCGGCAGCCGGTTCGGGCGGGTGGCATCATGGACGAGAAGGTGTTCACCAAGGAGCTGGACCAGTGGATCGAGCAGCTGAATGAGTGCAAGCAGCTGTCCGAGTCCCAGGTCAAGAGCCTCTGCGAGAAGGTGAGCTTCTCTCCGGTTGCAGGAGCCGCCGCGGGCCGAGCCCACCGAGAAGGAGGCGGCTGTGGGGAGAGTGCAACATGGCGGAGGCCGTCGGCCCGGGCCCCCGAGCCTCCCAGACCGGCGCCCGGCGCGGCCCGGCGGCGGCTCCCGGGCGACCCGGCGCCCCCTGCCTCCTGCGCAGGGATTGGTTGTCGCCGCCACCGCCGCCTAAAATGGCGCCGTTCACCCGACTCCAGGGCTTCCGAGCCTCCAGCTTTGGTGCCGGGAAATGTGGCTGGGGGAGCAGAGACCCTGTGTGTTAGGGTCGGGCACGGTTTTGAGATGGATGTAAGAGGGCTTGGGTTCTAAGGTCTGGGAAGGAGGTCTGTGACTCTACTGTGAGGTGGGTCAGAGGCTTTTTACTTGTACTCGGGCCTGACTCTTCGGTCCAGAGCTGTCCAGAGGATCCTCCAAAGGCAGGCTCGTAGGTTACATACCAAGACCTGTCTAAAGGTCACACAGCTTTAGAACTATTCTTGGTGGTTTGTGTTAAACTCATTGAGCAATCTTTGACAGAGACTTAAAAATGTGTGTTATAAAAATTTTTAAATATACCTCTAACCTAATTTCTGCGAAGGTCGTGGTGGTAGATGGAGGAGTACAACTTATTTTTCATAGTTGGAACAAATGGAGAATTTGGTGAGTCATACTACATAAAGAGCTTTCGGATTGGAAATCAAGTGTCAATTTAATCTATGATTTATATGCTGACTCAAATTGGGTAACTGAAACCCTTCTGTAAACTGAACGTACTTGGCATTTTGCCATCTATTTTTAAAATGAACAGCGTAAATTTAAAGCAGCAAATTTTGTATCCCAGCTCTTTGTTTGAAAACTTACTTGTTGATATTTTTATGGGTTTAAGTAATGGTAGTAATAATAACGATAGCTGTACATTGAGCTTTTATTGTGTCCCATACATTGTGCTTAGCGTTTAAATATTTTTCAGATGTCGTAAATGGAATGCTGTAGTTGCTTTAGTAAGTCGATTTTAAATTACCTAATTCCGTCTTGGTTTTCCCTAGGGGTTGGGGAAACAGGTTGTCTATTTAACTATTGGCTGTGTCGTGTTTTTGAAGTCTTAGAAGTCAGCTTTCTAATGTATAGAAAATGCTTATCTCTCCTATAAATAGTTTCACTCTTCTTGTCAAAAATAAACTTTGCAGCATTTCATTTTAGTACAGAATTGCGGAATACCATATTCACATTTTGTGTTAGTGTAGAGAGTTATTAGAGAGCAATTATGCTGACTCGTTTGTGGTTTTGATGGGAAAATTGGGTTCATGAGTTTGATGTATTTGCTTCTAAAGTAGGCTTTTTCAGAAATGCTGTAAATAAGTGCAATTTAAATGAGTCAAATTCAGATTTATTTATCCTAAGCCTGAACAACTCTCCTACTAGTTGATGAGGTGGCACATTACCTATTGGAACTCAGTTTTACTGTAAACAATGTATTGAGTCTTTTGTTCCTCTTTTACCTTTAATTTTCTTTCATCAAATGAGAATGGTGTATGTAGTAAGGATTTAGAAATAGGCTTCTGAAACTTATTGTATATTGTCGGGTCTTAATTTCTAGGTGCTGTAAGTGATGATTTTAATGATTTTTAAAGATCAGTACTTCATATAAAGACATTGAGTCAGCAGTTGGCTAGATGACTAGTCATTTGTGTAGAAAACATTGAAAGAGAGGTAATGATGTAATTGAAAGACCACTGGACTTCAAGTTAGACCTGGACACTAGTCCTCTTTCTGCCACAGAGTAATTGTGACTGACCTTGGGACAACCACTTAGTCCACATTTTCCTGTCTGTAAACTAAAGACTTAAAAACAGATGTTCCAGGGACCCTTCTACTATGAAATTATATAATCCAATTTAGATGCATACATTGTGTTTAAATATTAAATATCTAATGACTATTCAAGAGTGCTAACTTTTATGAAAGAAGTGAAAAGCAATGAAGTATAATCATGCTTATTCTCGGGGAGCCTAAATCTAGTTGGAAAACAGTAGTAGATGAACCAGGGAAGTAGTGGGTTTGTGTTAGAGACCATAGGAGATAATACTGGGGGCTAAGGTTGGTTATCAAAAGCTTGATGATTTGGTAAATGTTGATTCTTGTCCACAATTTTGTAAAACTAAGATACAGTGAGATTAAACAATTTATACTTAGATCCCCACTGGTTATCCAGTGTGGCCAGGTATTTGTTCTTAGAGTCAAAAAGATGGAAATAATGTTTGAAGTTAAGTTTCCAAAAAATGGGTCCTTTGAGGGGGAATATTATACAGTCTTAATACTCTTTTTAACTTGTAAATATTTCAACTTCTGGAAGTATATTAATTTTGCAAACTAAATTAACTTAAAGGCAGCTATTTAAGCATATGAAATGAGTTAGGATGCATGACTCGAAATGATTTTTTGTACTAGAAAAGTTAACAAAAGTTCTCTTTTCACTATTAATTGACTAGCCAAAGCACATATAGTGAAAGCTACATATTTAGAAAATCTTAAGGGAAACATGTTTACATTAGTACAATAGTTTTTTATTTCCTTTTAAAGAAAAAATTCTTGTTGGAGACAGGTACTTGGTAGTAGTTGATCATTTCTTTCATTATAAGAAGGAAAAATAATTTAAAAGCCTTCCATCTTCCTGAGCATGCCTGATCTTAATGAAATATTTAAATGGTAAAGATAGAAGTATACCATTAGAGGTTATGGTGATTAAAAAATTCAGAGACCATTATTGTAGTATCCCATCAGCAATTAACAGTGGATGTTCAAAATGCAGAGAATCCAGGTGTGTATTAGACAAAGGTGAATATGGTTTTTATGCAATTGACTAGTTAAGGTTTTTTCCCCCCAAAATGTGATCAAGGCTTATATCAAAACCAAGATGATTGTATGAATTATACTTTGTCATTTTGGGAATCATAATTTTAGTTGATTGCTGAAAAATTTGTGGTGAGCGAATGCAGTGTTGTCTTAAGTACACTTCTATAGTCAGTAACATTACTACATTTGTATGACTGGACTGGTATGTTTCCATTTACAGATTGGAAGAAGTAAATAGTATCAACTTGCTTTTGCATTAACTACAGTAAACACTCTTTTATTATGTGGCTTCAGCAGTGGTTTAATTTAGGTATGATTTTTGGCTTTGTGTTGTCAGGTCTTACCAAACTTGTGGAGAATGTTGTTTGATAGCCAGTTTTTTTTTTTCCCCCCTCTTTCCCCAAAGGAGTTCTTTACCTAGGTATGCTATTTTCCATTGCTGTGCACACACTATAAATAAAATGCAGTCATTAAGTCTTCACATTTGTTACATGAGTATGGGAAAAAGCAAACCCTTCTAAACTGGATGAGCTGCAAGATATTTGATCAAGGTTAAATTTCTATATGAAGTGGCTGGTACATTTTTATGAGTATGTGTGCTTAATTTAAAAGGTTGTTTGGCTCATTTCCATAAAAGTAATTTGAATATTGGAAACAAATGGGGGGAAAGCATGATGCAGAATATTATTTTCATCATATTTTCACATATACAGTTCTCTTAAGTTTATGAGACATTTATTATCTTCAGTTATAGATAGAAACCAGAGACTCAGAAAGGTACAGTGACTTCAGGGGCTAAAGTGGGATTTCATAGGCTTATGGATTCTGTGCCCAGTGTTCTAGTCTTGCTTCACAGCCTTCCTCCCCTCTCTTTTCTTAGGGAGTGTTAATAATGAAAGACGGAGGTGAATTGGGGTCAAATTGTATTGTAGAATCAGCAGCTCTGTAAAATAAAACATTTTTATTCTAATTGCTCAAAGGCTTCCTATTCATGTCACACACTGTTGTCTCACTTTGTCCTGGAGGAAGAAACAGTAATAATTCTTCAATTTTGGATGTGGCTGACTGCATTTTCCCCTCACATACCGTTAGTGAGAAGAAAATGCCAGCTCATTTTCTGTGTATCCTCAGTGCAAATCATGATCTCGAAGGTGAAATCTAAAATATTCCAGGAAAGCATAAGTGACCTTTATATTGTACACTACGCTTGTAAAATCACTACAGCTTGTAAAATCCCTTTTTATCATAGCTTCCACAGTCAGACCTATTTGTGCCTTTTGTGTGTTTTGTGATCTCCCAGGCATGAAGCAGTAATGCACTTGGTTTTGGGTTGACTTACTGAGGAAACATTGAAAAGGTGAACAGTCCTACTATTCAGACACACAAGTCCCCTGACTCCCCTTTTATTTTCTCTGTCAGAGCCAAGAATTCTCTGCAAATATTGGCAGGTGAAACCCATGCTGTAGAAAGCATGATAGGCACTGGAGAAGTGTATGTAATCATTGTAACATGGGTCAGGTGTCTCTCCACCACCCCCACCCCCACTTTGTATGGCAGCAGATATTGCTGGTGGTGGTGTAAGTCATTTGTCAGTTATTTGTGGAGTATTTGTTTAGTTTGGAGGAGATGTACAGGGAAAGCCAGGAGACATTAGGTTTGGATTGAGGTAGTGGTAGGGGGAGGGTCTTTTTTAAAGGTACTGAGAAGGGAGGAAAAGTTAAGTGTGACAGAGAATCCCTTGTTTTACTTTTTTGACCCATCTCTCGTTTCTTTTTTTCTTTACTTATTTCTCATTACCATCTTTGCCTGAAAAAACCTTAAACCTGCACTCTCCTACACAAGTGAGCTATGAATTGGACTAGAACTATTAAGGGGAAAGATTTTGTTTTTGTTGTTTTAAATACCTTTTCTTTCACCTTCTGGAGCAGAGGTGGTAGAGGAGGCTCAAGTAGAGAGAGGTCTGGCTGCCAGTAAATGGGGGATTGGTTCTGAAAGAATTGTAAAGAGCAATCTGGAATTAACTGATTAATTTCTTAATGTTACAAAGTTACTATTGCCTCCTTACATATTGGTGTAGCATTTAGAATGGATGAACAAGGCAGTGACAGAAATGTGTGTGCCTGAATCTG